GAGTAGATCAGATGCGAAATTATCCTATCAAAGTTCTGAAGCTGCGATAAGTAATTTTGGTACGATTGATGTATTATCATGATGATTTGACAAACTAAAGAAAATGGGATAGTGATCAGAGATTGCTGCGGCCTGGTTCACTTCCAATGATAACACAATATTCTCACGGGTAATAATTAAATCCAAAATGTTAATAATAATAATTAATGTTCCATTCATTTAACTTAAATAATTTCCTTGATGTAATGACCTTATTATTTTAGAGCTAGTTCCACAGCTTAGAACCAGTATATTTAATGGGACGCTGGCCAGCATTACTACGATACTTTGGAAGGAGTAAATTTCCCTTGGTTTGAATCTAGTAGGACAATTTGTTGCTACAAACTGAAAGTGTTGTAAAAATAGAATTAGGAAAATGCTCATTATGGCTGTCAAATAATGTACTTTTCATAATAAATAAATAAATAAACAAATAAATAAATAAATAAATAAATAAATAAATAAATAAATAAATAAATAAATAAATAAATAAATAAATAAATATTGACATAATTGATTTATTAGAAAGCCAGTGTTATTCGCTAGTTATTGTAATTTCACATGTGCGGACTGGGGATTAAACATATTGTGCTGTATTATACATGTATCACATAGAAAACCGCTACACACCAAACACCAGCAAACAATATATTAGAACATTATCTGTCTGATTGAAGTATTTGCACACATTATTCAATATCCTTCTCACAGCTTGATCAGCGTTGCATTTCTGTTTAGATGCCCACTGACTTGTGAATGTCTTCTAAGATAAGTTGAGATACTTGGGAATCCTTTCATGGTATCCTGGTAATCTGGCACGCTTCAGGCATCTTTCAACTTGTATGATCATAATAGAATACAAATAGTACAACAGACTCAAATGACTTCAGTATGATGTATGATGAACATTTGCAATCATTGCTTTTTCTGCTCTTCTTATTTCCTCTGTAACGGGTGTGAGTCTTAACTCACTGTACATGCCAACCAATCAAGTTTCATCTAACTCGCAGTGTGATAACAGCCCCTCCATGCCACTCTGGTTGTTGACAATCAAAGAATGCACTTGTTCTTTGACCTCCGGATCATCTGGGACAACCATAGACACGGTTTCATCTCTAGGGCATTTTTCTCCTGATTATTAAAACAATTGAGGACCGTTCAACAATGTCTTTGTCCGCAAGGTATCATCTACACAGAGATCTCTAGATGAGTCTTAAGCTGTATCGGCTCTTGTATCCACATATTGCTATTGTGACATTTCTGATCTGATTGATACGGTTTGCTTTTGGTTTTTGAGTGGTTTCATTAGCACAGTACATTTATGTCATACTCAAGCTTTGTTTTGATCATCTTATCCATACGCATAGAGGCAGCCGTCAACTCCATGCGTGGTATAGTGACCTTTTCAATGGTGCTACTCTGGATTTGGGACAGTCATCAGTACAATCATCATTATTCACCAGTACATCAAAAACTTCTGATTTAAGCCTATTACAAGTATCATACGACACTTTGCACAGACGAATTCTTGTTGTTGATCAAAAACGAATGCTTTGAATCAGAGTGAACTTTGAATCTTTTCTCATTCTTCTTTCAATGCCCTTAGGAAGCTGTCTTGCATGTCCTTTATTGTCAGATAACTTGCAAAAATCGCAATCAAATGTCATGATGGCCATTCACATTCTCCACAAATACTTTCTTTTTTATGGAAAGTCCAGGTTCATAGACTTCCATACTAATTGATCAAGTTCTTGAATTCTTTCATTCTCTCTACGGCACACGGTATACAGATTTTTATGCTACACATTCTGTCTCCACTTGCATTATGAGCAACATTCCTTGAAACTCATCCTAGGAAGGCTTGTTTAAATCTACAATAATTGTTGTCTTTTCATAGGACAAATTACACAAATAAAACGTCTTTTGGCGACAATGATACACATTGTCAATTATTCAAAAATGCGAAGATAATGTATATACGGGGAACGAGCGACAACTAAATTATCATTATTCGTCATTGAACATATGATATTTACATATGGGGTGGGGGAAAGTATGTCTGCCCATACTATAGACGAATTAATAACATACAGCAATTCATATCTGAGTAAAATTAGGTTAATTAATGTGACACAATTAATACATGAATATGCCTAGTGTTATCATTTCAGTTTTTTAAACACCATGTACCATAATTTCAACTTTCTAGATGATGTTTAAGAATGTCGACCGCTCATGAAACCTATACACGTTCACAACCCATGCAAACATATGCCAGATTTTCCCATTTTCAAATTATAGTCTTTTCTTGTAGCATAACACCGACAAAAATACGACGGACTAAAGTCTAAATTATAATATAATAGGAATAAGAATACCAGACGCGAGTAAATCGCTCAATTCTGACAAGATCACGCCATATATGTCGTGAATCTGATCAAACAATTGTCATGTACTTTCCTGTGGGTTGTCATTTTCTAATTACATAGCTATGCGCAGACAACGTAATTTACCACAAAAATTATAATGAATTTACCAGAAAAACATATATTTTTTTAACAGACATCATGGTTACCAAACTACGTTCAATACTACAACTTCTGGCGTCCGTGATTATTGCAGGCGTTTTAATTGGAATATACATGACGACAAAGGTAAAGGTTGTGTTTTGAATTTAATGGCAATTACTGGTGTACTGATGTGTACACTTATTGAGGATGTCATACGAGTGTGATTCGAGGTGCTTTTATAAAAAAAAAACGGGTTTCGATTGAATGTGCAAGCATACATTTCCAATACGTCTGTGCAAGACTTATGTTTGATCTGTGTTTTAAAATAAATATGTATCAACCATTAATATCAGGCATTAAGCTTATTTAGTATAACTTTAGTATATGATTTTGAAATGCATTTAGTTTGAAAAAAGGGAGAAACAGCATATATAGTAGTCTTGACATGACAATTAGATTCATGTATATAATTTGCATGTATGTGATGTCATAAACATTCAGCCATGTGAGAGTGGCATATATTTTTGAGAATACTATTTATTTGTTGGGCTGTTACACCCAAACTTACAGGCAAGCCTAATAAAAACAAATTGGCATGCTAGATATTCGTAATCTATATCAATATCAGACTTGTGTTCGACTTACATGTTTATTATGTCCACATGCTTCATCTATATCCCATTACAGTTTCATTTAAGTATTCAAAATAATAGTATGTAAAATATGGATTTAATAATTTCTATTTATGTTGTGCTTTCAATGATACATTAATACTGACAAAGTGGTAATCTTTATTTCCCGACTTTCCCGATGTTATTTAGGTCTCTATATTACACGAGGGAATGATTCATTCACGAGAAACTGCACACAAATGTTTAGTAAACAACAAAACCGACAAAAATGATTCTCATACCCATGACCAGAGCACACCATCCGCTGAGAAAACCTCAAGGACACCATCTAAAGACCGAACTAATAGAAGCTTCAACGCATTGTTTCCATACATTGATTACAATCGATTTGGAATGGAGTGGGTGGATATTGTTGATGAGATTGAATGGGTAAACAGGCACATAAATGTTGAACCAAGGAACTATGAAGTACCATTCGACATTGGAAATGGAACTTTAGGACAAACATCTGTTTTCAAAACAAGGTATTGTAATAACTGTAGGAAATATATGAAACGTGAAATGTTTGCACAGGTAATTAAACAATAAAAAACATGTTTTGCAAGATATTTGAATTTTGTACAAACAATAATTAATTAAGTTTCATCTAATTGTAACAATATTATTTTTGTTGTAGAGCTACATTACAGTCCGATAAGAATATATACAAGGGGACTTTTATCAGAATCTCCATTGTAACATTTGACGACAACGGCCGTTCCCGAAATAAGGGAGGAGATTTCTTTTCCGCTCGAATGTCTAATGATTATCTACAAAAGAGCACAGCAGGTCGAGTAATAGACCATGGGAACGGCACTTACTCCGTGTATTTCTACGCAGCTTGGGCAGGAAAAGCACGAATTACCATAGCACTTACATTTGTGAGGGAGTTCATCCACTATATCAAAGATTCATTGAAAACAAAAGAGCAGTTACTTGAGTTTACAGGCACTTACTTGGACAAAAACGTTACCGAGGAAACGACTTGTCGTCTGATAAATGAGGGGGTATGGAGTGACATGTGCGAATACACAAATCAGAACTCCATTGGAAAAACTGTACTTGTGTGCAATAAGCCCAAGAACATCGACTGCTCTAAACTCTATTCAATGAGTGTTTTAGCAGTAAGACTGAACTCACTTGCAGCATCGGAAATTATTCGTACTAAAAGCCTATTTGACAGGTAAAAAATTTACATATTATTCACACAATTTAATGTGAAACGGTGTGTTAATGATAATTTCACATGTCTGTTGAATATGAAAATGTAATTCTATATTGTAATTATTTGTATCTCACCAACTCTCTCATCAGTAATAGGTACATCGTTATGTTATTCAGTTATCAATGCCATATACTAATTGACTTATTTTAATTTCCAGAAAAACCGACAGGGTAGTACTCCAAGGCATGCCAATGGCAGTGACTATACAAGGTATTTACGTTAACTTTATAGATTATTCCCAACTAACCGTAGTGCAACTTAACGTGTTTTGAAGAGTGATAAAGCGCGTTTCCCGCGAATATTCTCGTTATCAAAGACTGAACCACTTTACTGCAAATGATAACATTGTTTATATCGGAGATGTTGACAACATTTAAGCTGCGCCCCAGATAACATTATATTAAATTTTGTTTTGTTAAAGTTATATGATACTTCTAATGGTATGCTGATTCACTCACACACAATAACGATATCGTGTAGAAAGCGATAACGGCATCGTTTCGATGAGCAGTCCCATTTGCATGTCGTATTCCATCTTTTGTTTGTCTCTCTCTGGACTATTTTAGATCACTAATCACTCTGTATTTAACTTGTTGTATGCCCAATTAACACTCTCAGAGACATGTTGTCAAATGTTATATACACATTGAAATGAAATTAGAATTGAATCAGTCGTCGAGACATAGTTCTAATGGATCCGATGTACATCACGTAGTGGTTTCCATATACATATGAACATATATTCGAATTGATATTGATAATTAGCATTAAGTGTGTTGTCAAAATTGAAGATGCTCCTCTTCATTTTGATAATGCTATTATTTTCTGTGTTTATGTTTTTGTGAACAAGACTGGTCCATTCCTGACATTCAGCCAGAAGACACTGTACTGGAATCGGTACATTGGGCATCAGTGAAATTGTCAGTTGTTGTTGAACGATAAGCTGGAACTGTTTCCTTCTCCCACTTTGTAACGTAATTTGTTCTTTGCTGTCGTCAGCGCTTGAATGTGATAAGCACTAATGATCAATGATCACAATTGCGAGTGATTAGTTTTTAGTGTGAGAGTGAAGCAAGGCAAATAAATAATATGATGATAAAACGAAGTGATATGTTATTCAAGTAAATTCACTGAAAATCACAATCACTGTTTAAAATCATTGCAAACTGTATTGACCTGACAAATTTGAATCTATCTCCACACAAAGTACCATGTTGTCTAATTCACTGAATATTACGATGGTAAATCAAACGAGCTGATTGGAATAAGATAGCTAAAACGCTAACCTAATTATATTGTGTACACAGTTGTGTCATATTTTTCGTAGGACGAGTACAAATTCTAGTTTTGTTTTGGAATGTTTCAGCCAATAAAATGTCAAAGTGTTCAGAGGTCAATGGTGTTTGCGATCGGTCCTGGGAATTTGTCGGTGACCATTGTATATTTGAAATATAACATGGATTATTATTTGAATGAATGTTTGGGCCCACTACCAACTAGCACATTAACTGATATCCGTTTTGCTCAACATTTTTTGTAATTCAGAGATACCCAAAACAACCGTCCATGAACCATCTATTCATGAACTTGTCGCAATGTGAAAGTATATCGTTAGCCATAATGAGAAGAAAATTGATTACACATTTTTGTTATGATTGTATTTTGAATGATATTATATGATAGGTATGTTTCGTAGAATTGGGTCATGGCACATAATAACGTAATAAAATGCCAAATACGTTTTCAAATTATTTACATTTTTGGTCTGCTGTACTTTTCCCAAATAATTGAATGCATTGGTTTAAAAGATAAGCTCAAAACATGTTGTGAATACCAAATCAATGTTGCTAATGATATAGTTTCTCATAATTTTAACAGATTCAACAATAGATTCTCCTAAGTTACCAAACTGCGGACCAGATTTGCCAATACCGCTATCAGATGGCTACTGGGACAACAATCGGACATATATTTCTAAGGTATGTCGAAGTCAACAGTGGACACAGGAACAATTTGACAAATGTGCAGCTAACAAGATATTCGTGGGTAGTGGTGATTCTGCATTACGGGAATTCATTGACATTTTCAAAGAATTCAATAGTCATTTTGACTTCCACTTCATGACGCCAAGAATTGCAGGACCTCATATCTCTATATGGGAACCAATGTTTGAAAGTGACATCATAGACAATATATCTCAAAGTGATTGTCGGTTACACAACTATGTAGTGCTTCTAAACTTCTGTTTTCATTACGGTGCGTGGTCGACCAGATCATTTGTAGAACGTCTCGTTCAGGTAAAGCTTTCTGTTGAAAGACTTATGAAACGATGTCGAGATCCTAAAATTGTAATTAAAATGAGCCATTCACGGGACAATGTATACATAGAACAGCAAATCCATAGTAACAATTGGTCTTTCTATGACATGAACAGAATCATTCGTCGTGTGTTCGGGGGAATAGGGGTGCATTTTCTGGATATTTGGGATATGGTGATTTCTTCTTTCCATGACATAACAGTTCACATGGACAGAGATGTGGTGATGCAGGAATTTTACCTCATGCTTTCGTATATTTGTCCAGAATTAGTGGAATCATAGATATATTTCGAATAAAACTACTCTGAAAAAATAATACTAATGTATTTAGAACTGATTGAATTGTCTATTTAATAAGCCTGTATCGTACACATTCCCAGAAAATGTTATTGTTTTTTTGATTTTTTTAATCATGCAATGTTTGTTTCACAGTATGCAAGCTTTGCATTATACGTAATTTAATACTTCAAAAATACATAGCTCACCCAACGCACCACCGCTGTGAATCACTGGGTATTCTGATTCTTGGGCATTGTTTCGCACATGCGCAGTTAAAATTTACCAGATAGATGTTGACACTTTCTTTTCAGCTCTGCCTAATATAGAACACACGGGGAGCTGATCTTCGTATGCAATGGAGTATTCTAAAACATTCGCTCATGATAATATGTAGTATGTTTGTCTGTGTGTGTGTGTACGTCAGTCTGTTCCACTGATATCTTATGAATCACTCATCTTATTTTAATGATGCCTGGTACGTACATAGTGGTACGTACATACATTCGAACAATGCAGAGACCTAAGTTTCTAGTTGGAATCGGTTTATATAGATATTCTGCTATTGCAAATAAATAATATTTCCCGTATTCCACTTATATCTCGAGCAAATTTCATTAGATCATATAAATAGGTCAGGTTCATACAACATGGAATACATGCATATCCAACGATATTCCTGCCGTATTATCATCACAATACTACATTATCACACATTTCGTGCATAAATGAAATAAACATGAACTGTGCCATTCATTCGTAGAGTATATAATTTCTAGATTTCAATTTGCTCTGTTTCAGTGCAAACGTTGAGCATGATAATACGATATTGGCTTCAACAAACGTTCATATTCAATCCGGTACCACAAAACTCCTTGAAAACTAAGTTTACTGAGTGTTCGCTAAATGACCGTCAATATACTATAACGTCATGTATTTATATCAATAATATCTTCCAATTTAACTCTTATAGTACAAATATCATATGACTTCGAAATGAGATAGGTCCTCTCTTTAATCCAAATACCATGGTATTGAACTGGAAGTGACTATTATAGCATGAGTAATCTGTTTTAGAAGTGAGGCAGAATCACTCACTGTAACGTCATTGAAATCAACCATCATATCTTTCAACTAAGACCAATATACTGGACCATGCCTTTGACTGATTATACCATTTTCTACACAATGTGCTGGCTGACTAACAGGAATGGCAAATCCAGTAGGTATTAAACGAGACCTATTTCATTGTCAACTGAGGAAAATCTGCATATGCATAAAATTATAGAGACGACGTTTTTTATTAGATGAAATGTCAGATTCATTGGGCAATAAACGTAACATCTTGTCAACTCGAGCAGCTCGAGTTACCCCTAGGACAAGTGCTTATGTTTACTTATGCTCTCTCACCAGTGGTAATTTTGTAAGTTATATAGAAAAGGTAGCAATAGTGGTACAGCTGCTATTTCACATGTTGTGCCAGTAGGATTTATCATATTAATCAAACTCACTGACAGATTACAAAACGCTACCACATCCAGTGCCCGTTCGTTCATATACGTAAAATCAGCAGTGTCAACAATGTTGTCGGAGATTCATAATATATAATATTATTTGTATTCGTTTTTATATTGCTATTATTATTCTTATTACATGTCATTTCTCTATAGTTAATTCGTTTACCTTTCGGATGAAGGATTCCTCTGAGTATTTCTCGACCAATTAGAATCATTTAATTTCAGCGAATCATTTTACTCCGTATTGTATATTTTTTTCTCCCGCGTACTTACATTTGTGTTTCCCGCTTACGTGTTTTCTTTCACGTTCGATACGAATCTATATAAAGGGCTAGTTTCGGAGTTTCGGGGCTCCTTATTCATGTGTTACATGTTTCCATGCCAGTTTTTCAAGGAATAAACCATACCGTGTTTTTGTATCCATATTTGACTTGTTTATTCTGCCATCAAGTACAGCCGAAGCGTACTACTGTATCCCCCACATAATTTGGTAACCTAGACCAGGATATCTGAGCTCAACACGATGTCAGAAGAACAGCCACCACAGAACGCCGCTGCTGATGCCCAAGCAGTGGAGACGACAAACGCATTGGCAAAGCTGAAATTGAAACGAAGGAGTCAACGAGGGCAGCTCACACGACTTTTCAACAAAGCCAAAACCCAGAAGAAGAAAATCGCCGACGCGGAAGGCCGGGAAAACAAGCATACCGATACAGTATTGTCATCATTGTAGACTTCTTCGATGAAGTCGCGGTTGAGTTGATCCTCGATGATAGAGTTGTATGTGTCAATTAACTCAGGAGACAAGCGTCTGAACATAGCGCGCGTCCGGCTAACTGTGACGTCATAATTAGTAGGCAACGGCGGGTGGTTATCGCACCATGATAATCTCGCAATGTATTTGTTGTTTTCATTTTGCAAATGAGTGTCACGAAAAGTTTTAAAATCCATACGTACTTCTATTGCGTGAGTGGACGTTCATCCCGAAACGAGCTCCATGTTCGGAGGATTCTGGGAAAGGTTAATCGGCATTACCAAGAACGCCATTAAAAAGGTATTGGGCCGTGTGCTAATCGCCTTTGATGAACTTTCTACCATACTTACCGAAATCGAGGCTACTGTTAATGATCAACCATTAACATACGTGTCTTCCAGCATCGAAGATAACGTCAGATTGACCCCGTCTCATCTGCTCAACGGCCGGTCATTGACACAGTTACCGTACATAAACATTACCGACGATGAACTCTATGACCCCGATTATGACAGTCATACGAAAGTCAACAAACGCTATGAACATTTAGTTCGTCTACACATACAATTCTGGCGTCGATGGCAGACAGAATATCTCACCGCACTACGCGAACGTCACCCTACTACCGGTACAAAGAACAATACTATTAAAGTAGGTGATGTTGTCATAGTACACGACGACATTAATCGCCGAGTAAAGTGGCAACTTGCTATAGTAAACAGCCTAGTTTACGGCAAAGATGGATCTCTCCGATCAGCTGAGGTGAAAACTTCCAATGGTCATTCATAAATTGTTCCCGCTGGAAATCGTATCAAAGGAATTTCACCTAGTGATGACACAACGCAACCCACTGCCACAGATGGTATCACCAACATGCATGATGAAAACAACATCTCTACCAGTGGAAGTACAGATGATATACCATTGCCACGGCGCAGATCGTACCGTGACGCCGCAGCTGCCGCCAACATCAGACTCAATAATTTAATCTGAACTTTAGTGAAAATCACACTACATCAGAAATCTACAAGTTCAATCTGTGTTCTCCTGAACTTGAAAAAATGAACTAGTAATTATTAGTGAACTCTTTTATCCATCGTTATTCGTTTATTCTCACATATATATATTATTCCCGAAGATGTACTTTTTCTCAAAGTCGGGAAAATGTCGGAGATTCATAATATATATTTGTATTCGCTTTTATATTGCTATTATTATTCTTATTACATGTCATTCCGCTATAGTTAATTAGTTTACCTTTCGCATGAAGAATTCCTCTGAGTACTTCTCGACCAACTAGAATCATTTAATTTCAGCCAATCATTTTACTCCGTATTGTATCTTTTTTCTCCCGCGTACTTACATTTGTATTTCCCGCTTACGTGTTTTCTTTCACGTTCGAAATGAACCTATATAAGAGGCGAGTTTCGGGCCTCCTTATTCACGTGTTACATGTTACCATGCCAGTTTCTCAAGCAATAAACCATACCGTGTTTTTGCATCTACATTTGACTTGTTTATTCTGCCGCCAAGTACA